GTGGGTTAAGTGTCTTGCCCAAGGACACAACGACAGCGACAGACTGAGCGGGGCTCGAACCTGCAACCTTCTGATTACGGGGCGAGCGCTTAACTCCTGTGCCACCGTCGCCCCATCGTAGTGAAGCTGGTCGGAGGCGGCACAGGCTTTTTGGTTAGCAACATTAGATACCTCAAGCTGTCTATATTCAACAACAACAAAGGGTTTTGAATTCAAAGGCCGCTTTGAGACGCGTGGATCGTCTTTATACCAGATTTCTGCTCCCAGAAGGTATTTGGAGTGATGAGGTTGATATTGTGAGTAAATCCCAAAGCGAGAGTGAACCTTGGACAGAAGCAGGAGCCAGAGCAGCATCAGAGTGAAAAAGCGTCCGGCAGCTCTGCAAAGACTAAAGCCTGATTTATGCTTCTCCGTCTGCGTCAGTGTGGAGACACGCAACGCCATTATCCGTCCTTGCGTAGGGCTCCGGCAGGCACGCAAGTACGTACGGAGTCGAGCTCTCTTTTTTAAACATCCGTCGAACGAGACGGATTACGCAAGCTTGTGATTGGTCAGGACGCCGCAGTTGTTTACAGCGCCGCCACTGCAAAGAGAGCCGAGGGGAACTAGCGGCAGACACGGAGAAGTTTGAAGAATACCTTGCGAAAAAACTCTAAAAATATGAACGTTTCATTCTCCCGTGACTGGAGGAGTGAAAAGATTTGCAGCAAGCGTTTTATTTGTGGACGGAAATGACAGGAAACGTGGGTTTAGAGGTGGGGAGCACATGAAGTGGTGGGAGAATGAGAGACAAATATGTCCGTGTTAAAAGTCTCTTATATACACAAAAAACACAATATAAACACACGATCTTGGACCGATACATGACAGGATACCACAGAATAGCGCTACGCCCTCTGTTGTCCTGCCGGGCAATTGCTTTGCAACACTCTCCAGGAGACGGAGAAGTATGAAAGCAAAACGCTTCCGTCAATCTGTGCATGTCTGTCCCTTGCGGAGCTGACGGAGAAGCATAAACCAGGCTTAAGACAAAGACAGCAGTCAGGTAGGGCCGGGTTTCCAGACCAGGGCAGTTAAACACTCCGAGTGACCCTTCAACTCAGGCACACTCCTGAGAGAGAGAGAGATGTTGAGAGGCTAGGCTGAGCGTTCACAAGCGCCGTGTCTCAAAATCCCATCAAAAATACAACATAAGCACAATTATTAACGGTATAAACACAACCAGCTGATTTGTTATGACTGCAAAAGGACTGTTTGTTCATGGCGAGCCTCTCTTTTATGACGCAAGCTGCTTTTATTCACCTCGCTAAACAGCTGTCACACTGGAGAGAGCTGAGAGAAGCGAGGTTCGGAATAAAACAATCCAAGTCGGGAAGATTTACAGCCGAGGCCGTTTTTACCTGAGAAAAGCAGCAGCTCTGTTACTTAGACCACTTCAATCATTAAAGCAATTGTTCACCAAAATCCACAAACCCGCTCTGAGTTACGACACCTGTGGTGAGGCGCGGTGGTCCAAGCATCACATACCCACCGTTTACATTCAAATGCCAACGAGATTCAGCCAAGGGGCCAGACAGAGCGCTGCTCGCCTCTCACCGAGAAGAAATAAACTTCGGCTCGCACCTGAAATCATATTTGGGTTTTTCACACAAGTTCAAAACATTAAATAAGAGGAGGATACCTGGTGGGTTTAAGTAGCAGCTGTTTCTGCAGACAAGCAGCGTCTAATACTTTCTGATGTCATTCCAAATTAAGAGGCAATAACGTCGATAATCTCTCAGAGGTTTACGGTGAAAGATGGCTGGAGGGACGCCATGACACGGCCGTGGCAGTAACACGATCTTCTCCTGTCACCGTCTTCCCTTCCAACAAACACAGCCACCCGCACACAAGCAAAGAGCTTTTCAACCACATCGTTTTAATTCAGAGCTATTTTCAGCAGCTGTGCGAGCCCTCCCGTGTCTACGACTGAAGCAACAAGCACACGAGCCAAACACCAGGCGGCACCTGTAACGGATAACTCGGTCTCAGTTTGCAGCTCTAAACGGAAATCAGTGGGAGGCGAGTCCCGCAGAAACACAAGGGCAACGTCGGGTCGAAGTTCAGCACAAAACAAAGTGGCTGTGATGAAATTCCCGTCTGACATTCCCCAACAAACTGTCACATATCAAGTTACATCAGTGGGAAAGATGCAGCCATCTACGTCCGAGTGGAGGCCTGGGAGTAATGGGAACGGTCTAATTTTAACTTTATTGTTCCACAGTGAACGGTGCAACTCATCTGCCAACAGGGCAGCCTGCACTTCGTTACTCCAACGGCCAACTTTAGCATCAGGCAGGAGTTTAGTTTTCCACATGGATCCAACGTCTGTCAGACGGAACAAACATCAGTTTTCATCTCAAATCATCATTCGGTTACCTTTTTTCCCCGTCTTCCTGCAAATCCTCATCCTGGGAAAAGAAGGCCAGGAGTAGTTGAAAGGAGAATCTGAGTCAGAGTCCATGATGTTGACGGAAGCCTGAAACTGCAGAACCGGAGCGAGCAGCGCCTCCTCTTACATCCCTTCCCACATGGCCGAACAGACTAGCTGCAGCGCCCGCTCTTGTTTTTCCAAAGCCCTGCTGCAGACTCTGACACTTCAAGAGTGAGCCAGCGTGTTCCCCTCCGTCTCCCCCAAACCACCCCTCCCCCTAAAACCCTCGCCTCCCCCCTTTCTCGGCCATGCTCCAGCCTCTCTTCCCTGTCTACCACTTTCCTTCTTTCCTTCTCAGATCTGTGCCAACTTCACGCTCTTCCGTCGTCTCCCCCAGTCTCCCCATCTAACGCGCTCAGCTCTGAGTGAGCGGGAGAGACATCAACACATGCTGACAGGAGCAGGGGAGGAGGAGGAGGGCACTGACGGCCGGAAAGAGTGACCGAAGGAAAGAGAGGAGCAGAGAAAGACAAACTTCGTACCGACTTCAGAATCTGCAGCAAAGACAAACAAGGAGGCAGAGAGCTTAGCGGAGGTGAGAGGAACCATTAACCCACTGAGCTCATGATGGTCTCAGAGGGATGCCACTGTCCTCCACCTCCGCAAGGCGTCCCAACATGTCCGGAAAGAGAGCTTCTCCTTCAGTCTTTTCTCTCCTTTATTATACTGTAGCATGTCAAAGCTGAGCTGAGGAGGGGGAGAAGAAGAGAAGAGCGGGGCGGTGGTGGAGGGGCAGACTGCCAGGTCAGCAGCCTCACCATGGAGACAGCAGAGAGAGCTGCTGTTTCCGTCCTCTCTTCTGCCAACCCGCGGGACTGCTGCGCTCTGTTGGAGCAAATATCGTGCAAACCAAGCCACAACGAGAGTTTAAGAGACAAATCAGACAACGATGCCGCAAAACGAGGTCGAAATCGTTTGGAAATGCACAAACGTTTAAGAATGGTGAATAAAAAGAGGAAAAACAGGATAAGAGGGGGAATATTTGCTGAGAAAAGAACGAGCCACACCGTGACGATAGAAAAGTTTCAGTGTGGGCGCGTGGGGAGCTGGTGGAGGACGTTGGCACCGCACTAGAGCACATTAATGCTGCCTTTGTGAGGTCCGTGTGGGGTTTTAATCCCTTTTCTCCATTCTCCAATTAGATCACTCAGTCGGTGTGGGAGGGGGTTCTCAGCGGCTCTCGTTGGGGTTGCGCTTACTGTTTCTTGTCACCTCGTCAAACAACCAACATCATAAATCCATTTTCTGTCTGGCTCTGTCTCTCTTCCAGAGTTTTAACGCTCCTCCACTCTCCTCTCCCTGGGGATCGCAGCGAGCTGCAGGATCAGTGCATTCAGGAAGGCCCTGGCAACCCCCATTCAGCCACAAACACCCCCTTTTCAAACTCTCCTTTACTCCTCGCCCCCTTTTAAGCGTTTATCCCTTCTGCATTCCTCCTCTCAGATGAATGCACGAATGCTGAAAACACTTTCACATACAACAGCCTTCTGTCTCGCCGTGGCTGTGTTGAGAAGAAGAAGAAGTGTTTTTTTTTGGTGTTTGTTGACTAAACTTGGTGTGTTTTTGGGTTGGGGGGGCAGGGAGAACGTGTTTCTTCCTACAGAATCACTCTTTAGTGTTGGACTCTCGTAAAGTTACAGTAATCTGAACCGGAGACGAGAAGGATGACATCAGGAAGACAGGAGGGGGGGAACATGACAAGTACATTCAAAATTCCACATCTCTCATCGAGACCCCGGCCGCACAAGTCCTGTCTGTCTATACGATGACGTAGAAGTTGGAGTTAAACAGCCATATAGCGCGTGTTAAACAGATGGACTTTCAGTACGAGCTCCTCCGCTTCACGGAAAATGTAAAAACCTGCTGGCCGATGCCTGGCAGCTCTGGAATGTCTAACGAAGAATTTAAAGTCTCTGAGGGTCATGTGTGCACCGCTATGCAGGTGTAAGAGCCCGAGTCACCCCAGCTGTCACTTTTCTCTCATTTGAGCTTCTCAAGCAAATCCAGAAGGTTGACTGAGACCATCGGGAGGACTCAAACCAAAAAATACCACATCTGCCAATAAACAGACATCCAAACACACAGAGAATAAACGGCAACAGCACCCGTAGAGCGTGAGGATTAAAGACGTCCGGTGCCAAGTGTAATTAAGACCAAACTCTGAACCACAACATTCTTACACCGAGGCACTGCAGCCAATTATTAACCCACGGGACGTCCCCACTCTCAGAAACGCTCCCTTTACAGTCCAGACTAAAGCCGCATTCAGGATCGTTCCTGTTCTTCTGTCACTGCTCAGAGACAAACGGGGTAAATCAGGATTTATTCCCCCACCGGCACATCCAGAAGAGCGGGTCCAAGACAAGTCAGGGGCCTGACACGTGATCTCGCTGTCAGCCGGGATAGTAGTCAGTTGTGGCTGCTGTTAGTTCTGTTCAGCGGTGAAAACATTTCCTCATCTAACGGCTGAAAGCTGCTTGAATCAAACACCACCGAAAGCAACAGCTACAGCCGGCACAAAGCTTACCGCGTTTACCAGAGCGGGTCGGCGACGAGTCGTCTTCGCTGTACTCCTCGATCAGGCCGAACATCAGCGGCTCCTCGCAGTCCTCGCAGAAGAAACTGGGAGCCTTCGGTGAAACGACATTCAAGTTTACAGACGTGTGAGAATACCAGACGACAACTAGAGCTAAGCACAAAAACACAAGTGTTGGGCACTGAGATCAATTAGTTAACCATCTGCATCACGTAAAACAGCTTCCATTGGATGACCGGAGTCATGTGCCACACCTGTCAAAACATTAAACACACACTCAGCCGCTCACAGACTCTGTTTTTCTCTGCTGCGAACAAGGTGCCAATTCCAACACCTGAACAATAGGAGCGAATCGACACGGGGCGCTTAGAGCCTCGCTCCGGTCAGGACGACGGTTTACAGCGAGCTGGTGCAGATGTGCATAAAACAAACAATAAAAAAGGCTTTAAAAGCAGAGCCCTGCTTCAAATACTCACGTTGTCTTCAGGAGAGAGTCCTCCATCCATGACAGAATACGGAGCTGCAAGAGAAGTTTAGAAGAAGTAAAACTGCAGCTGTTGAACTTCAAAAGAGACTCAAGTCAGCCCAGATGTTAGTTTTTAACGACATGCATAAAGTCTTATTTTCTTTTTTTATTCATAACCTCTGGGTATTTTTACCATCACGTCCTAATCCTTTTCTTTTTTCTGCTCCTACTACGTGTGACCGGGGTCAAAGGAGACGGGGTGTGGAAAAAAATAACAGAAAAGGTGAATTGGTTTGATTTGTGACCCTGGGATCGTCTGATGATGTAACAACAGGAAGTGAAAGGAAGAAAAATGACTGGATTAAATGAAAAACGTCACATTTACAGGTGAATGATTTCTTTAAGACTCACATTTTATTTGTCTTCGTTTGAGATAAGAAAAACAGATTTCTGGAGATAGTCCGCTTGATCTTTACAGAAAGTTAAATACAAGATCTGAAATGAACATCCGTTTTCCTCCAGCAGGATCGAGTTTTCACACCAATAAGAAATGTTTTTGCATTCGACCTATGTGTTGAAATGATTCAGTTGCTGTACTCTAAACTCCCATTTCCATCCATCCATCCATCCATCCATCCATCCATCCATCCATCCATCGTCTGAACCATCGGCTTTGTCCACGCAGGGTGGGGGGGTGGTGCCTATCTCCAGCGGTCAACGGGCAATTAGGCGGGGTACACCCTGGACAGAGAGCCAGTCCATCGCAGGGCAACACAGAGACACACAGGACAAACAATCACACACACACACACACACACACACACACACACACACACACACACACACACACACTCAGACCAATCGACCTAACAGTCATGTTTTTGGACTGTAGGAGGAAGCCGGAGAACCCGGAGAGAACCCACGCATGCACAGGGAGAACATGCTAACTCCATGCAGAAAGATCCCAGGCCGGGAATCGAACCCAGGACCTTCTCGCTGCAAGGCAGCAGCTCTAACCACTGCGCCACTGCGCAGCTTAAACTCCCATTTCTAGATTCTTAATTTGCTGTGATTTGTTTTTTAAACTTAAAACAGGCAAAAATAAAATTCTTCATAATTTAAAATATTCTTTGTCTGATTCTAAGAACCAAAATAATATGAAATGCTATGATTACTAAACAAGAAATGTTTTGATATTTTTAAATGATTTTTGATAAATTGATGCAACAAATTGCAGCGTCTGTTATTTCCGTTTGCCCATTTGCAGAACCTCTTCATTCCAGCAGAGGGCGCTACATTTCTATTAACATCTACAGAAGAGGGGCAGCACAGTGGAGCGGTGGTTAGCATTGTTGCCTTGCAGCAAGGAGGTCCTGGGTTCACATCCCGGCCTGGGGTCTTACTGGAGTTTGCATGTTCTCCCTGTGCATGCGTGGGTTCTCTCCGGGTGCTCCGGCTTCCTCTCACCGTCCGAAAAGCCAGGCACAACCTGCAGCTAGGCACAACCTGGACAAGCAGGTTCAGATAATGGATGGATGAATCTACAGAAAAGTTCCTATAAACACCTGTTCAAACCGTAATAATTGTAATAAAACTGAGATACTTTAGGTTTGAGTTGTTATAATTGAATAAAGCTTCTGTTTTAGATACTGTTATGAAGCAGGTGGTACCGTCGTCTGCTGGATCATCCACAAGTTCTTCTCTTTCCAGTAAGGTCTCCACACGCTCCCTTCTGAGTGACTTAATCTGCAAGAAAAAAAGTCACGTGTATGTGAAAAGATGTAAAAGCCATGGCAGGATTGCTTTCATTTTTATTTTTATTTCTTTGCCATAACGCAGCTCAAACTCAGATCTAACTGATCCCCTTCTAAATGTCACCATGTGTCATTTTTGTTTTATTTTATTAAAACATAAGAAAACAGGTTTTTAGTCCTCGTCACCTCTCTGAGGAAGTTCTCATCTCTGAGTCGGTCTCGGAGTACCAGGATGTCGGCGTGCCGGCTCTCCTCTGAGCTCCAACGCAGGTTCTGTCGAATGGTTAGAGTCAGGTTTCCGGTGTCGTGACAAAACCTGAGCAAACGAGACCGATCTGCCCACACCTGGGACAGACCTGCTGGAGGTGTGGCTAGAGGGTTGGGCGGGCTGCAGCATGGAGGGATAAACAAACATTAAACCCTTGTGTTATTATTTAGATTGCATAAAGTTTTATGGCAAAAGAAACAGATTTTCAATTAAAAAATCATTCATCAGCGTTGGGTGAAATTAATCTTCAAACTTCCATGTTTATGTCACGCTTAAAGGGACTTTACAGACTTTTGAATTTTTATGCTCGCGATCGCCCCCTCAGGCCAAAAGCATAACGGCAGCTTCAATAGTAGTCTCGTGTACGAGGCGCGCATGCTGTACATGCACACTCCTTAAAGAGCAAGTCACCCCCTACAAGAAATTTACTCCACTCCCACTTGTTTGAAAAATGCAACAAATGCTGTTGCCTGGCAGACCAAGAGGGCGGAGCCGCTAACAAACACATACACACACACACAGGCTCACAATGGCATTGTGACAACATAAAGTACCAGCTAACATCATAGCATACCTCTTAGCCAATAGCGATGGCAGATTTACATTCAAATACAGTGCAGAATTTTTCCCTGACGATGGCGCAACACTGACAGTTTTAGGCAGAATATTTAAATTTTAACTAAGATGCACTGAAGCGCCAAATTATTGACGACACGTGTCTGCAGCACGACTTTATATAGTTTATCAGCAAAAAAAGTAGATTTGGGGGTGACTTGCTCTTTAACGAAAATAACAGCTGAGACAGTCCCGTATGTGTGTGTGTGTGTGTGTGTGTGTGTGTGTGTGTGTGTGTGTGTGTGTGTGTGTGTGTGTGTGTGTGTGTGTGTGTGTGTGTGTGTGTGTGTGTGTGTGTGTGTGTGTGTGTGTGTGGCCCGGAGGACAGGAGAACGTGCAGCTAATTAATTAAATGATTTGGGTCTGTACCTTTCTCTTCAGCACAGCCGACAAAGGTTTATGATGGGTCAGTCCTCCTGCATGCTCAGATTAGAGCCCTGCACTGAAAACCTAGGCCCTCAGGTCGGCTCGGCCCGACGGCCCGAGGGTCGGGCTTCGGGCCAACGACTGTGTAATTACCTCGGACACGGACCGGGCGCCTTTATTTTTAATCGAATTCATTAAAAAAAACTGAAACAGTTGAACGCAGCAGCTCCTGCCTGCTTCCCACGCACCGTTAGCTCAGTTAAGGTGTGTGTGGTTTATAAATGCGCCGATATAAACAAATTCTTAAACTGCTGATTGAAACATGTGCCCCTGTTCTAATATGCCATTTTATGTCCACTTTGATGTCAGAAACATTCGTTTATTCTCATGAAAACGGCAGCGTTCTATTTTTCTGTGAATAAATTCGCTCTGCAGTTAAATAAATACAGCATTCGTCGCTGTTTTTTTTCTAACTGGACGCATTTTCAGAGCGGCAGATTAAATTTACAAACGCTGTATTAACTGGGGGCGTTTATTTAATCTGCCGCTCTGAAAATGCGCTCAGCAGTTAGAAAATTAGAATGCTGCTTTTTTTTCTAACTGCACAAGAGCGCGTTTTCAGAGCAGATTAAAATTACAAACGCAACCAATTAATATAGTGTTCATAAATTTCATCTGCCGATCGAAAAATTCGCTCAGTTAGAAAAAAAGCTGCATTGATGCTGTTTTTCTTTCTTTTTTTTTTACTGCAGAACGCTTCCCACAGATAATCAGAACGCTGAGCGTTCTATCACGCTAAAACATCATGAAAGGTTAAAAATAAAGTCGGGCTCGGGCCAGAGAATCCTGAAAACCTTTTCGGACCGGGTCGGGCTGGGGCTCCAACCCCTCAGGCCGGCCGGACACAGGCTCAGATTTTAGGCCCGTGCAGGGCTCTATCTCAGATCATTCCCTTCCCTTGCTTGAAAAATTGTTCCAAAATGAAAGTTGAACCCACATTTTTATCTGTGAATTCAATGCCGTTCGGCGAGTCTCAAATATAAAATTGGGCGTCTTGCTGTAAAAAATATACCATTAATGTAAAAAAGAAACTCTAAATAAACTATGTTCACATCCAGAATCAAACCCAGGTCTTCTGCACGAGAGTCCGACGTCTTACTAGGCGAGCTAAAGCAACAGTGACGTCCTCAGTATCTGTAACATTTATATCCTTGATGACAGCTGAAACAACGTCAAACCAAAGAACGGTTCGGAGTGAAAATGGCTATTTTGTTGCTAATTTGCAGGAAATATCTAGAAGAAAGTTGTACAGAAAGTAGCTAAGGGTCCTCAGAAATGTAGCTAGCTTTGTCACTAGGCGTTAGGAACAGCGACAAAGTGGCACTGCCTCTCTCTCTGCTGCTAAAGCTACGGATAGCAAATGCTACGGGCGATGCCTGAGCGTGAACGCGCATGAAGCAGCCTGCTCGACCCGAGCATCTCTCTTTTTCTGTGATTTTACAGAAAAACAGGCAATCACAGTAAAAATGCCAGGACTCATTCTACAGGACCAGGGCATTGCAGGAGACTGTATGAAGAAGACATTTATTATTTCTATACACGTTTAGACTGTCACACTTCCTTAATGTCCCTTTAAAGTTACATCCACATTTCCACTATAGGAAGTAGCAAATATAACTTCAATCTTAAAGAGATACTTAGCAGTTTTGATTTGTTTAGCACCCCCTAGTGTTCAGTAGTCAAAGCAAAAGTGAAACTTATCTCCTCGCTGTGCGTTCGTTTTTTAACACCTTGACCTAATCGCTGAAATGTCTCCTCAGCATTCTTGAGTGTCTACAGGAGTGATTCATCACTAAATCAAATGAATCAGCTGAGTTCACGATCGAACACATGCAGGAAACATGCTGGAAGCGGACTCCAGCACCAGGTATGTCAGATCCACTTTATTAAGTCCAACAGGGACCAGACCGGCACTCTGAAGTTGCAAGCGCAATATTCTGATCACAGAGGGAGGTGGGGATCTGAGTGGTAATAACCCTGTAAAGGGTCATTTTAGCACAAACCGACTTAAAATATGAAAAAGTGGCATAGTATGGCTTTAATCTCCAACATCCAGGATCATGGTGGTCTTGAGGTCTCGAGAGCTTCCAAACGTGATGAAAGAGAGAAAAATGTGTGGATGTCTGCGATTCAGAACTCAAACAGAGACAAAAAAAGCCTTTTATCATTTTAACGGACTTATTTTACAGCAGGCATGTAAAAGTGGAAGTCTAACGAAAGCACTGGTGTCATAATCAATAGGCCTGCATTCCATTCCCTTTAGAAGTTCTGCTCATTAGCATTTTATCCGCGTGCACAGCTGCATTAGTGGAACGCTGCCTATGCTTTCCCTGAATTTTCAAGTCCAAATATATGTCGTGAAATAGGCCCGTCACAGGAAATGCAGGTGACCTGCCATCATTTACAGCCTGCATCAATTAGACTTGCTTTGTAAAAACAGGAAAAACACTTTTGAAATTGACCCAAAGGACAGGACTTCTTTTCAGGATGAAACCTCCTCCGACAACCGGGAAGCATGTTGGTGGGGGGAGAGTTATTGATATTACTGTTTTCCTCCTCAAATATGAAAAAAAAATGTGCAAAAGGTTCATCTCTTTTTGCAACTATTTAAAAAAATGAGAATCATGAGAACAAATTATTTTAAATTAACATTTTGGGGGGATTCGAGTAAAAGCCGTGCCGTGCCGTGCCGTGTGTAACAAAATCCCATAATCAGTGTTGAATGTTCAGAAAAACTACTTAATTTGTCATTTATGTCCTCAAATCACCATGAAGGACCTTATTATCTTACTGTGTGAGCAGTTCCAGGAGCTCGGCGTTGCCTGTGATCTGAGCCAGCTGCAGCGGCGTGACTCCGTCCTCGTTTGGCAGACTGACGGCCATCAGACCTCCCGGCTGACAAAGCAGCAGCTCTGCAAGCCGATATAGACCCCAACGCACGGCCAGGTGGAGGGGGGACTCTCTGGCACGACGGTCTGGAGACAAGACAACACATTTCTCTTGATTCCAACATGTGCAGTAAAATAAAAAGAGATGTGTGTCAGAAAGCAAACTGAAGGAATCTGGGGTCTCATTTATCAAACATGGCGTAGAATCCTTACTAAAACCGTACTTAAGCTCGGCAAAAAAAATGTACTTACGTCAAGCAGGTTTGTGATCTATCAAACATGGAGTACGCACAGCTGCACGCAATCTCCGATTCATAAATCGGAAACTAACGAGAAAGGTTCTCAGCTGCTTTTTAGTCATATCCCGCCCTCGCCACGCCCACTTACTGCCATAAATGGTCAATGCAAAGTGCCTTGTGGGCCTCATGCATATGCATAAGCCGGCTGTTGCAGCATTTCGATCACGACCGCAGATCAAGGAAGCGCTATTTTACAGAAGCAGAAGTTGAGGTAACTGGGGGTGAGGTGGAGAAATGAAAGGAAGTGCTTTTGCAAAACAAATAAGAGAAAATCCGGAGTGGCACAGCGTTGCTGAAGCCGTCAATGTTGTGTTCTTCAGAGAGATCTGTGGTGGATAAAAAAAAAGATCTGATCAGAATTCCATCCCCAGACTCCCGGGTGAAAGTCGCGCGCGCTAACCAGTCAGCTAAACGGGGATCGCCCTTATACAAGTAGCCAGGGCGCATGATCAATCGGGTCACAGTGACAGGACACTCACCGTCACAGACGCATGATGTTCTGTCTCAATCTGTCCCCCTGCTGATTTCTGCATTCCGTATTCTGCGCTTCAGGCTGTGTGTGTGCGTGCGTGCGCGTACGCGTGTGTGTGCGTGCGTGTGGGGGATCTTGTTCTGTGTGAAAACGAAGCAGTACAAGTGATAATGCTGCAGGTTTCATAATGGTACCCTGCTCAGCAGCAGCACTGCAGGTGCTCTCCATGTCCAGCATGTGTGTAAGCCAGGTCCTTAGTCAACTTAAAGTTGCGCACATTTTTCCGCTAAGTTCTCTTTCATAAATCCCAAAGTTTGCGTGGAAAGTTGCTTACGCTGTTTTCCGACCCCGTTTTGTGCGTAAGCTAGCTCGATAAATGAGGCCCCAGGTCTTTTTTGTTCATTCAGGCCAGAATGAATTTCTTCTACTGACCCACTTTAAAGTGAAAAACTAAATCACAATCATTAAGTAGGTCAGAATTTCCTTCTGCAGATGAACAAAATCAAGGCTTGTGTGCAGGTATCTACAAAATAAAACCCAAATCATAAAAATATTTCTGTTTATGATTATTTCTGACTTATGTATAGTTTTTATTATTAAATTGTAAACTACATCACAATTGCAGCACAAAATTATTGCAAAAATACTGCAGCATTTGACATTCACTCAGCAGCAAGACAAAAAAAACCTTTTGAGTTAGAAAACACATGGGAATAAATACATCAAAATATTGAACTATTGTAAATAACATAAAGAAGTAGAATACTTTTCTAAATATGTATGGATAGAATGTCACTTGGATCTTTATTTTGGGATTTCCGCAATTTTAATTTTTAAGAAACCCACATCTTGATTCTGGGTTTAAAAATGCGTTGTAATTACTGCGTTACTGACAATTGTACCGAGTAAATATTACCATTTTCTTTCCCTGTAATGCCTTACATTACCACATTACAGCAAAAAGCAATGCATTACAGTAATTAATTACTTTTGTACCGCGTTACTTCCAACACTGCCCTACTAGAGACTGCAGACTGGAGGGGGAAGGGCTCCATATTGTGACGTTTTTATGAGAGGTTTCTCAGAAAGAAGTCTTTCTCTGGCATTTTTAAACTTTCTAATTTACATAAAAAGTAGGTCACGCACAGCGTTTGACTTTTTGGCATGCTACTTTTTACCACCTGCCGTCTTTATTCACAAACAACAAGACAATGTTGGTTTAGACTCTTTGTCCCCTTTAACATTGAGTATGCAAAAAACAAGGTGGAAGGTCTTGTTTTTAATATTGAGGTTTTGCCCTTTATTATTATTTTTTTTACAACTTTAATGTATTTTGTTAGTAATAATTGACTTTAAACTTAGAGGTCCATACTTACACAGCATATAGGCTAAACAATTAATTAATGTCATGAAGTATTTCTTTCCAATTAGCTGCAGATACCGAGAGGGCGACGCTGCACTGAAACAGATGACCGTAATAACATTACAGCTAAAACCTAGTTTGTTGTTTATGTGGGTGGCCTCACACAATCACTGCAAACAGGCAGTGGCATCTAGTAAACAACACACACACACACACACACACCCGCCTGGGGCTACTTCCAGATGGGAAGGCTCTATTAACCACATTACAAGATGCTTAACCGGCTTTGATGAATTTGACAGAAGCACACATGCGACCGTCTTCACTTCCGATTTCAACCCTCTGAGTACAGAAAATGTGGAATGATGGCGGAGGTGGAGAAGAGGACAGTTGGGTTGAAGAGTTCACCCTCCTTACATAATGTTGGCTTTGAGCTCCCACTGCATGAGGTTTGTGAGGGGAGCATGAAAAAGGAAACTGTTTAAAGAAATACTTTCTTCTTGTTCTTCGTGAACGTCTTCAATAATCTGAGCTCAGGACATTTAAACAAAGTTCCTGCCCTCATTATTCAGATAAATAAAGCACAACTAAACAGGTATACTGTATATTGTGGAGTACCACAGGGGTCAGTTCTTGGGACAACCCTTTTCTCCATCTACATGCTTCCACTTGGACAAATTTTCCATAAGTACAACATATCGTTTCACTGTTATGCAGACGACACTCAGTTATACATGAATATGGACTCCACTACACCCAAAACTCTTCCATCTGTACTTCAGGTCTGCCTGGAGGAGATGAGGGCATGCATGGCCGCAAATTTTCTTCAACTAAACAGTAATAAAATTGAAGCTATCATTATCGGCACTCCACATCAAACACAGTCTCTCTCCCTTAGCAGTATTTCCATTTTCGGTCATGAAATTCCCCTTTCCTCTACTGTAACAAATCTTGGTATCAGACTAGATTCAAATCTTACATTTGACACCCACATCCGCCACCTCTGCAAGGTCTCTTTTCTCCACCTCAGAAACATTGCTAAACCCCGTCCCTCTCTTTCCCAGCCAGATGCAGAGAAGTTGGTCCATGCGTTTATCTCCTCCAGGTTGGACTATAGCAATGCCCTCCGTGTTGGGGCCCCCGGCACGAGCATACAAAAGCTCCAGCACATCCAGAACTCAGCTGCCCGGGTCCTGATGAGGAGACGCAAATACGATCATATCAGAATCAGAATCAGAAAGCTTTATTGCCAGCGCTCCAGCGAACCAGAGCATAGGAACTTGACTCCGCAGCACAGCCTGACCAAGGTTACACGCACACATAGACAGAACAGATACAGGCAGACCACGAGAGCAGCCATAACGGCGCTCATTTCAATTAGAAATCCAGTTCTGAGATCACTTCATTGGTTGCCCATCCAATATCAAGTTCAGTACAAAATTGGCCTTCTTACTCACCAGTGCATCCATGGAACTGCTCCAGCCTATCTGAGCGAACTTCTCATCCCACACACTGCCACAAGAACCCTCCGCTCTACCACCTCTTCACACCGCCTGCACCAACCACTGACTAAACTCTCCACTATGGGAGACAGGTCCTTCAAGGCAGTGGCCCCTCGATTTTGGAATTCTCTCCCAGAGTTTCTAAGGGCGACACAATCTGTGGAGCTTTTCAAAACAGGCCTCAAGACCTTTTTGTTTAATAAGGCTTTGTTACGTCCCCGACGGGAGATGTTAAAATGCGAAGGAGGGGGCAACATAAGAAATACGACAGTGGAGTTAAAATGGTTTTAATTGTTGTAAAAGGTTCTAAAAACGAGCAAACAGATGGCTAGCATTATAAAGATAATGCAAAACAAACAAAAACTCGAAAAGGTTAACATTACACCAATAACCAACTATAAATTCACCTGGTTAAAACTTATATTAAAAGTTCTACCAAATAGGTGTTTTTAAAATCCAGAAGTTGACTTAAAACACCTGGTAAAAACTTATAGTAAAAGCTGTACCAACACAGGAGGTGTTTAAAACCAGAGTCAATGAAATTGCAGCAAACCAAGTTAACCTTTTTAATCAACAAACAACATCAAAAGATCCCTCAGGATCATCCAAGAGCTTCACCCTTTAAAGGCTCATAACTCAGAGTTAAAACCTTAAAGTTAATCAAAACGAAGGGGTTAAAAGCAAAACGAGGCCTGGAGGACAGCAGAAGCCCTGCACTGCTGCCTCCCAGACTGCTGAAGGCACAGCCTTTTTATCCCAGGTGTGGGTCATCAGCAGGATTCAGCTCAGCTGTGCTCCTCAGCAGCCTGGAAGAGGATGGGCGGTGTCAGGCTGACCACCAGGGCTGGGTGATCCTGGCTCCTGCATCCCAATGGCCAGGCTGGTAGCCGGAACAGCTTTCTAGTGCACAACGACCTATTGAGTGTTTTCCTTTATTGTGTTGTTTTTACTTATTGTTTGCATCTACTGCAATGACTTTTTAGATGGGTTTATCTACTTCTGGGGATTGTTTTTATTTTCCATACTTGATCGTATCCTGAAGTTTTAACTAGTTGTGTACCTTATACCTGTCCCCTATTCTCTGTAGCACTCTGAGATTACTTCTGTAATGTAAAGCGCATTAAAAATAAAAATTATTATTGTTATTATCATTATTATTATTATTATTATTATTATTATTATTATTATTATCATCATCATCATCATCATTATTATTATTATTATTATTATTATTATTATTATTATTATTATCATTATTATTATTATTATTATTATTATTATTATTATCATCATTATTATTATTATTATTATTATTATTAGGGCATTCCTGCTCTCACCATCTCTACTCTGGCTTCCCAGAACGTTCCACTTCGGAGGGATATCCAGGTTGGCCATGGCCAGAGCCACTTTATGATCCATCGCCCAGCGAGCTCTCTCCTGGCCCAGACTGAAGAGGCTGCTCAGCTCCTGGTGGTCTGTGGAGCTCAGACGATGTCCGTGGATCACGATGTACTCAGCCAGATCCTGAGAATAAATCAGGCAGGAAGAAGAAGAAGAGTTTTTAAGTTTTAATCTGTTCTTGTTTTTTATAACTACTGGAAAAAATGAATCCAATTCATACAATTTGACTCAAATGAGTCATTTTAAATAATAAGAAAGGTTTGCAAAAGCATAGGATACACTGCCTTGGATAAAATGTGTAGGATTAAATAAGCTTCGCTCACTTACCTGTGCATCATCATGCACATATTCTAAAGAAGCTCCACCCACCCAGGTGAGGGGCGTGGTTTCAGAGCACAGGTAGGCCTGAACGGAGACCTCCTCTGCCAGATTGTGACCTAAAAACAGAAAAGGCAAAATAACAAAAATGAACTTGAATAATTGACTGTGTCGAAGTTTCATTACAGAAATGTGACTGGTGTTAAATGTCATCAGACAGAGAGCTGACTCAGTTTAATAAAATAGCATAAAATTAGTTTGTGGTCCATAAAAAGACACAAACCCCAAAAAGCAAAACAGGAAATTATTTGGATTTCATATCAATCATGCATTGCTAACAGTTTTATTTGACATTTTATTTACTTGAGAGACAAACTGCTGCTCCAGATGTTTCTGTTTTAGGAAAATAAACACAATTTACAAAAATCCATATCGACAAAGATCCTGAAACCCATTTTCGTTTTGGTTCCGGATACGGCATGCAACTGCTCTCTGAAAATGTATTTTTAATGACAAATAAATAGATCTATTTCTAATTTATTCAACTATGAATTAAAACTCCTTCTTGTGGGACATTTTCCTTCCAGAGACAGATGCTGAGACAGAGAAAAGTTTAAAATAGGCTAAATCTCTTCCAGTAAAATGACCGAGAACTCGTTTTATCCTGCACTGAAGCTCAAGAATATTGAATTTTTGTTCCCATAGATGTTTCCCATTGGAGGGAAAGCTGATCAGATTTCTATGTCCTTCAGACCTCAGATAACAAACAACAAATGCAAGATTCAGCAGGTTTTTTCCAGCATATCAATAAATCACAGATGGCGCTAAAGCCTTGGATTGCCACAGCACAACATTTAGGTAATAAAACAGCATTCTGGTACACGGACATACCAGGCACGATAAAGCAGAGCATGACATCACTCTGAGCCTGGGTTACATGGACAAGCGTGGAGCCTTCCAGAACAATGAACACCTCAGCATCTTCTGGCACCGAGTCCAAGCCTTCTAGCAGAGTGAATACCTTCGCCTCACCCTGAGGTAAACAAAGGTGGGAGAGGTTGAAAGAAAAACAAAGATGGATAGTGGAAAGCATAAAAATGGGTCTATTCATAGGCTTGTTTCAGACTCAGGCTTTGTTCTGTGAAGTACAGCTAATCTCCTGGTATCATTCCTCGGGGGTACCGTTAACCCCCATGTGCTCCAGTGTGTTTTTATGAAAAGACCTGCCTTGATCTAAACAAGCAAGAACATGTTTTATGTTCTATCAGAGGTAGCAGACCATGTGGGGCACCAGAGTTTCCAGGTTTAAAATTAAAATGGACAAAAATGCATCTGAAAAGCAGTCCTGCACCTGCAGTTATGTGAGCAAATGGATAATAAATGTATAGTCAAGTTAATATTGTGACAAATTACAAAAGTTGATTTTAGATGCACGCAGACCCACTTTTTTTTTAAGGAAACAACAAAAAATCTGGCAAAAATGTTCTAATCTTTAGAGCGTACTACTTTTGGTAAAACAAGTCACGACCGGCTCAAAGGTTTTTCAAAAATAAAGAAAATAGAAAACAACTTTTTTGACATTTTGGCATCATTCAGACTGATGATAATTTGCAGCCAATTTCTACAATTTCCCACCAGTCCATAGGATTGGGCATCGTAGAACAATTCCGATTCCAATTCCTCATTTCGATTCCAGTTCCTATCGATTCCCAATTCAGATTCTTTCAAGTGGCAGGATCCAAAAACATTACAAGTTTAAAGTGAGCCAGCTAAACAAATAAGGTAAAACATCAGGGGTCTCATTTATCTAACATGGCGTAGAATCCTTACTAAAACCGAACTTGAACTCAGCAAAAAAAAAGTACCTACGCCAAGCAGGTTTGTGATCTATCAATCATGGAGAAAACTCTGAGCATTATTTGTTATTTAATACATTTGAAAGCTGTTTCTACCTTCAGATTTCCTCCTTGCATTTTTAGAGTAGAACAAATAAAAATCACAATTTGCTTCACAAGCATATAAAATTAAAAAATATATATAATAATGGGATAAAATATTAATAGCTTTAACAGTTTTATTGTATGATTAAATAGTAAATTTAAATGTGAATGATTTGTTGTACTAGATTAGAAACTAGACCATCTTTTCACTTAATCTACAGGATAGCTTGACAGGCTAGTGTTGTACCTAAAGTTTGCGGAAAACCGTGAATTGAACTTAAATCGCATTTTCTGATAGAAAAATCGCAATTCATTCTTTTCCTAAAATCGTTCAGCCCTAGATGGAATACCGTTTTACTTATTAATATATTAATAGATTTAAATAATAGAGAACCGTTTATCTTATATAGTATTTTGTCTTGTACAAGTGGCCCAATTTAGGATGTTATAATTTCAAGATGAGAGGATATTTTTTATGTTAGGTTGTTTTGCTTGTGATGTGTAGTAAATGCTTGCATGTCTATCATCTAGTCTCTCTGTTGGAGTTTGTCAAACCAGAGGACCCCAAACAGCATCCTGCTTAGAGTCTTTATAATAAAAGCTGCCTTGATGAAGCGACAGTGAAGCTTTGGAGTCTGTAGTGAAATGAAACCATGCGATTTTTATCCAGACTATAAAATGGACCAGAAAGGAGATTTCTTAAACTGTAATGATTTTTTTAATTAACATTATTTTGTTTTAACTCTCATTGACTCACTGAACTAGATCTTAAAATCTGTTGTTTTTTTTTATTTAAATAATGCATATATTATCACATTAAACACTGAACTTATATTATTTGCTAATTTCCGCACAACTGACTCCCATATAGTTGTATTTAAAGATGTCCTAGAAAAACTTTTTTTTCTTCAACATTGGATACGGTTATGTCTATATGAAACTTTGTTGGGGCTCACAATGGCCCAGGAGCCAGAAAAAAGGCGAAGTACAACCCCATCATAAAACCCTACAATGTAAAGATTGGGTTTCCCTTCCGACTTGGCCAGGAAATTAATGTTAAATGAGCTGCATTCTGATTGGCTAGTTTACAGGGTTGTGAACGAACAACAAAAAGGACAAAACAAACTCAGAACAAACTGCTTCTCCGTGGTCATTACAACATTACTAATTTACACAGGAAAGCAGGTCAGAGACGGAGCAGACTTTTTGGTATATGTTAGGAATCCCAAGCTGCCAATAGGGAGTCCAAGTGTCATGGGTCCCTTGACCAGGAAAAAAAAAGAAAAGAATTTAAGTGAACGTGGCTATAAATGTCATTTTCTGGTCCACTTTGCCTTACACTTTGAATCACACATGTTTTACTTCAATTTAAATGAAAAATAATCATGACCTTTGTCGCAGGGGACCCATGGACCAGAAGTAGATAGACGTGATTTAAACTCTTCTCCGTCCGCGGAAGTAAGGAGGCACGCAATGCCATTATCTGTCCTTGCAAGGGCTCTTCAACAGGCACGCAAGGACAGAGTAGAGTGCAATTTTCTAACTATCCATCACAATAGGGCGGGGCGATATGGCCTAAAATCAGTATCACGATATATTGAGGATTTCACCTTGATAACGATAAATGGACGATAACTACAGGTATGCGCAAAAACTAAGGTTGTCCACTAGATGGGGCTGTCACATGTATTACGTTGAGTTACATTTTTATGTGACTCAACGTGGTACAGCTTCTTAAAGGGACATGAACGTTGCCAACCTTCACCGATCTTTTCATTTTTTTATTATAAAATTTGTTGACATTGAAAAATTTATCAATAAGTGTCAGAAATTTCGATGACGATAAATTTTCGATTTAGTGCCCAGCCCTAATCACAACTGATCTAATTTTCTTTACCATACAACGACTAAGGGGCGGGATGCACTTGGTTGGCTAAATGATGGATTCTTGGGTCAAGTGGAAGACAACGTGTCTGTCGCTGCTGTCCATGGAGAATGTATAGATATTTACATACTTGGAATTAAGATAATCGGGTTTCTGCGGTTTGCAGGATACCCCCAGAGAAGTGCTCCGCCCTCTGCTTCACAACACTGACACACCAATAGAGAAGTATAAAAGGAAAACATGTCCATAAAAATGCATGCTTGAGTGAAAACTTGCTGGTGGAGAAGTTTAAACTAGGCTGTAGGCTCCCTATATTCAACAACAAGGTAAATGTGGTTTTAAACTCTTGGACGGTTTTAAAGTAAGCTCAATATTTAGTTTAAGTGCAGTTGTTTCTGGGCCATGAGGCGATTTTTCAAAGCAGGCTCCAACACTGCCATGAAGTAAGGTATCAATTTGTCCACCTAAAGCGGCCTAAATAGAGGAGAGTATTCAGGGCACAAGACACGACGCACGGGTTATTCTTGGAAACATATCAAACAACCGACTCCATCAGGAGAAGAGAAGACAGGCTGAAGGAAAAAAGGTCTGGCAAATATGACAGAATGAATATAAATGAAGCCAGAACAGAGTAAGATGGGTCAGAGTGGGGTTTGTACTCCCATGCTCAGTTCTCTTGAGAGTCTATTAACTGCTCAACTGCTGACCCAATTTTTATCCAATAAATTGGCAAGTTTTTTTTTATTTCTTCTCCATCTGTAATTAAATCGGTTTCTATTTTTCTCTGGGTAAAATGAAATAATGAAAATCACTACCGCCTCGACATCGTTGGAAAATGTCATAAGACTAAGAAAATGTAGCAGAAGGAAATTTACCAAAAGATAAAAACATCCAATTTCACAATAATATGTTAACTTAGGGCTGCAGAGATGAAAAATGTTCAAAACATAAAATCAGCAAAAAGTTTTTGAAATAATATTTTTGCTATTTCTTATATATTTTATCTAAATAATGATAACTGAAGAAATTTGGTCCAATTTTTCTCTCTCTCTCTCTCTCTCTCTCTCTCTCTCT